TTCTGCTGAGCTATATGTGACTTTTTTGCAACGAAAATGCAGGGATTATGAAATCATGCAAGCCCCGCATATTTTGCGCGGAAATCGGCAATTTATGCGGCGAAAGTAAGGCGCATTTGAAAAAATACGGCCCCCGCATGATTATGCATTGAATTATGTGATCGCATAATCACGTTTTTCTGGAGGGACTGGATAATAAATACAGTGCTAGTTAGAAAGTAAGAAAGAAGAAAGTACAGATTAAAGGTAAAAATAGAGAGGGGGAGCAGGAGCTGTTGTATCGAGCTGTCACTCTCTGCAGCGCTGGAAGGTGGGACAGCGTGTGCATGGACAGTGTGGTAGACAAAAAAAGATATTGTTTATCCTAACAATAAACCCTACTGTTAAATTAAAGATTGTATAAATATGAAAAAGGAAGCTTTTAGAAATAAAGACAGGGCAGGCCTGTCAGTAGTTCTAAAATAACTCAAACAGCTCCTTACAAATGCAAGAACAACAACAGCAACAATAGACAAACAATGGAACACAGCTTTCAAACTTCAAACACCAAAAAACTTTGGGACACTATAGAATCAGTTATAAACATGAACTCTGCAAAACAACAAATTATCACTGTGACTTTTACTTGAGGTTTGAGTCACAAAACGTCTCTCAGCAGTATGACAGTATGTTGTTGTCTTTGCCCGATACTGATGCCACCCACTGGCTTGAAGTGGACCTGCTTTTACCTCTACTGTCATGAAATGTTTTAAGAAATTTGTAGTGTCTTTGCTCAAGAAAGAAGTCGAGTTAGACTAAGACACATGGCTATTTGCCTATAAGCACAAATGCAGCACTAAAGATGTCATCCTCTGCATTTCATATTTATTTCTAGACACCTTGAGAACACAAAATCCTATGCTAGAATTTAATTTATTGATTTAAGTTCAGCATTTAATAAATGGTAAATGGACTGTACTTATATAGCGCCTTTCTAGTCTTTCGACCACTCAATGCGGTGTACACTACAGCCACACTCACTCCATTCACACACATTCATACACTGATGGCAGTGGCTGCCATACCAGGTGCCAACTGCTCACCAGAACGGAAACTAATCATTCATACACACTCATACACCAATGCACAGCATCGGGAGCAATTTGGGGTTCAGTATCTTGCTCAAGGACACTTCGACATGCAGTGAGAGGAGCCGGGGATTGAACCAATAACCTTCTGATTAGTGGACACGCACTCTGCCTCTGAGCTCTACCACAGCCGCCATACAATACAATACAGTGCAACCCATTTTCCTTTAGAAAAGCTTAGGGATAAGGGTGTCAACCCTTCCCTGATCAAATGGTTTTATTCTTTTTTAACTTAAAGGACACGACAAGTGAAAATTAATGAGACATTGTCAGAGACCAAACATAGTGATACTGGGGTCCCACAAGGTTGTGTGGTATCACCTATACTTTTTACACTGTACACTAATGACTGTAGTAAAGTACACCCCAATAGTTATATTATAAAATGTGCTGATGATACAGCAATCTTAAGCCTTCTCCACAAGGACATGGACCCTTCTGCGTACCATAATGAGATAGCCACCTTAATCAAGTGGTGTGACACCAACCATCTTATTCTAAATGTCACCAAATCACAGGAGATGGTCTGTGACCCGAGACAAGTGACTGACCACAAGCCAGTGGTCATTAAAAAAAAAGAAAATCAGCCAAGTGTCCTTGTCTAAATATTTAGGTGTCCATATAGTCAACCTTCTTTGCTGGAAAACACACATTGATCACCTGTGTAATCGACTGCAGCAGAGACTGTACTTTCTAAGGCGACTGCGACTGTATGGTGTGAGCAGCCAGATCATGCTGATGTTCTATAGGGCGATCCTAGAGAGCGTCATTAGATATAGATTCACAGCATGGTTTGGCAACTTAACAGTGCTGAAAGGCAGGCTGGCCAGCACGCACAAAATAGCTATGAGGACAAAAGGGAGGAAAGAATATGAGCCCATAGAGACACTATATGAGCACACAGTCATGAAAAAAGTGGCAAAAATCATTGTGGACCCTCAACATCCCCTCTTCTCTGAATCAGCCATCAGGAAGAAGACTCTGTGTGACAAAGTGCAAACAGATTGAACTTATCGTTCGTCCCGACTTCTATCAAGCTGCTGAACTCTCATACTAAATCATAGTAGGGCAATGTGCAATAAACAAACTAGCACCATAGCACTTTAATTTTTACAGTTTCTTACAGTCTCTTTTTAAGTTGCCACATTGTCGGTATTAAAATGTATAGTGTCTTTCATGTTTTAAGATGTTTTTATGTTGATTTTGTGATGGGTTTCTGATGTGTGTCTGTTGTTGATGAAAAACTAATCCATGGATTTGTTACTTCTAGGCTGGATTACTGCAACTTCTTATTATCAGGTTGCCCCAATAAGTCCATTAAGATGCTAATTCAGAACGCTGCAGCACGAGTACTGACAGGAACTAGGAAAAGAGATCACATGTCTCCTGTACTAGCTTCTCTGCACTGGCTTCCTGTAAAATATAGAATAGAATTTAAAATCCTCCTCCTCACCTACTAAGCTCTTCATGGTCAGGCCCCTTCATATCTTAAAGAGCTCATAGTACCCTATTACCCCTCTAGAACACTACGTTCTCTGAATGCTGGGCTACTTGTGGTTCCTATAGTCTCTAAAAGTAGAACAGGAGCCAGAGCCTTCAGTTACCAAGCTCCTCTCCTGTGGAATCAGCTTCCAGTTGTGGTTCGGGAGGCAGACACCCTTTCCATATTTAAGAGTAGGCTTAAGACATTCCTCTTTGATAAAGCTTATAGTTAGGGCTGGATCAGGTGAGTCCTGAACCATCCCTTAGTTATGCTGCTATAGGCCTAGACTATCGGCCGATTTCTCATGGTGCACTGAGCTCCTCTCTTCCTCTCTCTCTCTTTCTGCACTCATTCATGTCCCATTAATGCATGTTACTAACTTCACTTCTTCCCTGGAGTTCTTGTGCCTTCTCGTCTCGCAGGTTCTTATCGATCCTGGTTGAGCCTCCTGCCATGGTCCTGCTTGACTGCCATTGCTAATATCACTGATATTATTATGTTATTATTATTGCTACGGTTACTGCTGTTGCTGTTGTCACTGCTCATTGTCCCCCATCGTTGCTGTTGTCATGTTCATGACACGTGTCCGTGGCATGGTGTTGACGTTTCGCTATGAAACAGGAAGTTGTCATAACTTTATTATTATTCATACCATAATGCACCTGTTTGATTCTTGCCCTGAACACGTCTACATGACAATATTCAGATATAGTGATACCCCCTACTGGCAACAGGAAGTAAGCGCTGCATGGCATTTTGATCTGAGTTGCATGAAATTCTCATGTTGTGGTCTCTCTCTCTCTCTCTCCCTCTCTCTCTCTTCCACCTACCTAGAGCCGAAGGGTCTGTCCAAGGTTTCTGCCTTTTAACAGGCAGTTTTTCCTTGCCCCTGTCGCCAAGTGCTTGCTCATGGTGGTACTGTTGGGTCTCTGTAATTAATGTTTTAAAGAGTTCGGTCTAGACCTGCTCTATTTGAAAAGTGTCCTGAGATAACTTCTGTTATGAATTGGCGCTATACAAATAAAATTGAATTGAATTGAATTGAATTGAATTGATGTATGCTTGTTTCTGTGAGGCAACAAATTGTAGCAATTTGCCCAAGACCCATTTCCCCTCGGGGTCAATAAAGTTTATTCTATTCTTCTACACGCATGTACCTTTCATGGCTAGGTGAAGCAGGTGATCTTTTGATCATTAATTGGGAGCTGTTTCAGGGCTATGGTTAGTCCTGAAGCCAGATTTATCCACATTATGAAAAAAGGATGCAGCTGTTTTTACTAAGAAAATGGATATTAGAGATTTGCTTATCACAGTGATGGTGCTTTAGGGAAGATGGGGGGACTATTTAATATTCAGTATGTCATGTGACAGATAGTGTAATAGGTTAGATGAACAACCTTTAGCAGACTGTGACCATGGAAACTGTCAGACCAAACTATATTAAGGAAATACTAAATTTGACCTGAAGTTTAAAAGTTGTGTTTGATGTGAAAGGGTGTGGTATGTTTCATGAGTTAATGAATGTTAATGTGTCAATAACATGTTGTTCTGAGTTACTGAGTGTGAGTAATTCACAGCCTCCTTCTCACAAACTCTTTGTGTTCCCGGAAAATACCGTCCAACCTGTTCTCCCCTGAATCAGAGCAACATACCTGACATAGCATACACACACACAGTGTTTATATTTATTAACATTTCCTGGTAGGAAACGTGTCTGTAGTAGGTTTACAGGCAGACACTTACTTCTTTTAAAGGCTTCACTGGACGCACTGGTTTGAATCTGGTTCAAACCTTGATCTGGATATGCTGAAGGATCTGTAAAATATAACTGTTGGTTGACGTGTTTACTTTTAAATGTATTGTTTATTGTTTATTTTATCATAATCATACCGGTTACTGCAGGGCCCTCTCAGATTGTCTTAAAGCAACTGCCGGTATTGTCCTCTCAATGGAGGGCCACTTCAATGTTCTGATTACTAACATCTTAATTAACCAAAAAACTGAAGTTTCTACACATTTCATATCATTTTCCTTTCTCACAGCCAAACAACAAATCCTACTCTGTAAACTGCTCTCTTCTTGTCAACTTTTGGCTTTGCACCAAAACAAATACTTTTTTTAAAAACAGAATTGTGTTTTTATTTAAATTGTATACAAAGGGGTGGTTTAAAATGACTTTGTCTACCTGTGCTTGTTACAGTGCTAGTTTGAATGACTCGTTAATAATCCAGTCTGTACCCAGTGTGAATGTGGTTCAGATCACAATGTGGTTCAGACATTCACACTGGGTCTGAAACCACAAGAGCTCTAAAACAGTCAACGGTGTGTTTGAACTGGATTAAGGGGGGAGGAGGGAGGAGGGACAGGGGAGGGAAAAGAGGGAGGAGAGAGTGTGAGTATAAAAAGCTACTGCTCTGTTTCAGTTGAGTTCAGAAACTCAACAACTGAAGTTTCATCCCAGTGAAGTTTTTATCCCGCTGACGTGCCGAACAACCACAACATGATCCAACGGTGAGTTTATTGATCTTTGATTGATAAACTTTGAATCATTCACTTTATTAAGCTGTTTAAGAGAGTTGACTTGAGTTTCATCAGACTGCTGAAGGAAGTAAATTCCTTACGACTCTGGTGCTGAACAAAAGTTTTCTTTACTTTACTAAAACTATGAGAATCATTGTTCTTCTGAAATGTTTGTTATGTCATTATAGTCAATTAAGTCATAATCGGACATTCCTTTTATTAATGATGATTATCTGATGTTTCAGCTGATCTCACAGCAGCTATATAAGTCTCATACTTTTCACATTATCATGGAAACCGGAGTTTAAACTGTGTGAAAGTACATCAGCATTGAGGTTTTGTCTGTGGACATGGTCTGTATAAGTCCAGCAGAAGGACATCTGTGTGTGAGCATTAAGCACCAGTCACCGGACGGGTTCTGTGTAGCCTTTCTGAGATCCTTTCTCTCCATACGTTGGAAGAGAACAGACTCTTTGTATTTTCTCTCTGAGGAGGAAACACAAAGAAATGCAGACATTTAACCTGTTGGGGTCTTTGAGCACACAAGACACATTCTGTTTGTCACTTTGGACTCCTGTTGTCATTGTTGTGGTTATTGTTCTTGTTGTTGTTGTTTTCAGTCTTTATGGAGTGAAACTATATTTACTGACTTTAGACTGACAGAGTGTTTGTCCTCCTCTCTTCCTGTATGACAACAACAACGACAACAACATGCAAACAGGCTGCAGTCAAATCGAGCTGTTCACTCCGCATTAAAAAACCTTCTGCTGTGTGTGTGTGTGTGTGTGTGTGTGTTACAGGTGTGTTGTGTTGCTGCTCGTTGCTCTTGCAGCTCTCTCTTTCGCAGCTCCAGTCCCAGGTGAGCTATGACATCATTTATCAATAACATTACTATATTAACAATCAATATTATTCAATATAAATAAATACATGACTTGCAATAATCATTGTATCACTTATATTTATACTACTAATAATAATTATTTCCTATTGATATCATTATAACCCTCATCTTTAAATATGAATACATTTTTAAATATTAGTCACTGTATTATTATTATTATCATTATTATTATTATTATTATTATCATAACCTTATTAACTGGAAACAAGCATTATAAAACAGTTTTGAACTAATAACAGTATGTTTTGTTTGTTAATGATCACAATAAGCACTGAAATTAAGACTGTATTCAGCTAATTATATATATATTATATATTATAATAAATAAGTAAATATAAAGTGTAGCTAAGCTTTAACATAAAATATATAGATGGTATATTAGTGGTTTAAAGGCTATTTATAACAATGAATATTACAAACAAATAATAACAATAATAATAATGTTTCATATTTGATATTTGTTATCAGTAGTATATGGGTTACAACTATTTGCTTAGATTTGCTTAGAGTGTAACAGATAAAATGTATATATTTTATTTCATTTTATTTTATTTTATATACATGCCTCTGTCTGTCTGTCTTGCAGAAGGAACAACAGCAGATGGTAAATATACACTTTTAATTTAATATTTAATCTAATCCTTTGGTTCAATTGACCTTTGATGACCTCTGACCCTGTGGGGAAGCCCAGCCTCCTGATGCTATCAAGTGGACTCATACATACATACAAGCTGTGATTGGCCAGGCTAGATTTTCTAAACCCTGAAAGTAGATCCAAGAGGGCAGGCAGAATTAAATTTAAGCACACTGAAAGCTTTTTATGGAATTATTGCACCATGACACCAAAAACAAACCGCCTACCCATTATACTTTGTGTTATAGGAACAGTTATACAGCGATCAGCCGTAACATTTAGTCCTGAGGATCTGAACTGCTTTGACAAGGGCCACATTGGGATGGACAACTGGGTCAGAGCATCTCCAAACCTACAGCTCTTGTGGGGTGTTCCCAGTCTGGTCTCTATATCAGTCTATATACTGTTAGTGATCAATATATCAGTCTGTTAGTGATCAATATATCAGTCTATATACTGTTAGTGATCAATATATCAGTCTGTTAGTGATCAATATATCGGTCTATATACTGTTAGTGATCAATATATCAGTCTGTTAGTGATCAATATATCAGTCTATATACTGTTAGTGATCAATATATCAGTCTGTTAGTGATCAATATATCGGTCTATATACTGTTAGTGATCAATATATCAGTCTGTTAGTGATCAATATATCAGTCTATATACTGTTAGTGATCAATATATCAGTCTATATACTGTTAGTGATCAATATATCAGTCTGTTAGTGATCAATATATCAGTCTATATACTGTTAGTGATCAATATATCAGTCTATATAATGTTAGTGATCAATATATCAGTCTGTTAGTGATCAATATTTCAGTCTATATATTGTTAGTGATCAATATATCAGTCTGTTAGTGATCAATATATCAGTCTATATACTGTAAGTAGTGATCGGTGGATTTCTATAATATAATAGTGATAATGATTCTTTTTTCTTACAGTAAGTAAAATGGCTGCCATGATATCATGTTTTTGATGTTTCATAAATAAATGAAGGCTTAATCAATAAAAAGATATTCATACCAAACAGTAAAGAAAATCAATAATTTAGTTTTTAATTACAGTGAAATGTTCATAGTGTAAGAATGAAGATCCAGCGGTCAGCAGGTCCACACTGTCATCAATGTTAATGTTTATCAGAATAAAAGCAGAACATTGGACATACATCCTGAATACAAGCAGCCAATCAGAGAGCACCTAATATTATTGATTATTACTGAAGCTATTTGATTGGTTTGTTGAGAGTTTCTTATATGTTTGTTTGTTTGTTTGTTTGTTTGTTTGTTTGTTTGTTTGATTGATTGTGCAGACAGGAGTGCAGCCCTGCTGGCTCACCTCAACGGTAACACACACACTGTAACACACACACTACAACACACACTGTAACACATAATGTTACACACACACACGCACTGTTACACACACTGTAAAACACACTTTGTAACACACACTCTAACACACAATGTAACACACACACACACAATGTAACACACACACTGTAACATACACTGTTACATACACACACACACACACACACACACACACACTGTAACACACACACTACAACACACACTGTAACACACACACTGTAATACACACTGTAACACATAATGTAACACACACACTGTTACACACACTGTAAAACACACACTGTAACACACACACAATGTAACACACACACTGTAACATACACTGTTACACACACCACAATGTAACACATACACTACAACACACACTGTAACACACACACTGTAATACACACTGTAACACATAATGTAACACACACACTGTTACACACACTGTAAAACACATACTGTAACACACACTGTAACACACACACAATGTAACACACACACTGTAACATACACTGTTACACACACACACTGTAACACATACACACTCCAACACACACTGTAACACATACACTACAACACACACTGTAACACACACACTGTTACAAACACAATGTAACACACACTCTAACACTCACACTGTTACACACACAATGTAACACACACACACGCTGTTACACACACACACACACACTGTAACACACAATGTAACACACACACACACACACACTGGTACACACACTGTAACACACACTCTATCACACACTGTAACACACACACTGTAATGTACACGGTTACACACACAATGTAACACACACACACTGTAACATACACTGTTACACACACAATGTAACACACACACTACAACACACACTGGAAAACACACACTACAACACACACTGTTACACACACACACACACACACACACACAATGTAACACACACTGTAACACACACTGTAAAACACACACTATAAGACACATTGTAACACACACACTACAACACACACTGTAATACACACTGTAACACACACACTGTTACACACACTGTAAAACACACACTGTAACACACACTCTAACACATACTGTAACACACACACACACACACACACAATGTAACACACACACTGTAACATACACTGTTACACACACACATAATGTAACACATACACTACAACACACACTGTAAAACACACACACACACACACACACACACACACACACACACACACACACTGTAACACACACACACACTGTTACACACACTCTAACACACACTGTAACACACACACTGTAATGTACACGGTTACACACACAATGTAACACACACACTGTAACATACACTGTTACACACACTACAACAATTCAATTCAATTCAATTCAATTTTATTTGTATAGCGCCAATTCATAACAGAAGTTATCTCAGGACACTTTTCAAATAGAGCAGGTCTAGACCGAACTCTTTAACATTAATTACAGAGACCCAACAGTACCACCATGAGCAAGCACTTGGCGACAAGGGCAAGGAAAAACTGCCTGTTAAAAGGCAGAAACCTAGGACAGATCCTTCGGCTCTAGGTGGGTGGTCGTCTGTCTCGACCAGTTGGGGTGAGAGAGAGAGAGAGAGAGAGAGAGAGAGAGAGAGAGAGAGAGAGAGAGAGAGGCGACAGACAGACAGACAGGTGCACAGCAACAACAGTATTGGCAATGGCAGTCAAGCAGGACCATGGCAGGAGGCTCCACCAGGATACAACACACACTGTAACACACACACTGTTACACACACACACACACACACACACACACACACACACAATGTAACACACACTGTTACACACAATGTAACAAACTCTGTTACACACACAATGTAACACACACTGTAACACTCACACTGTTACACACACAATGTAACACGCACACACTGTTACACACACACAATGTAACACACACACACACTGTTACACACACTGTTACACACACTGTAAAACACACTCTGTAACACACACACACACACACACACACACAATGTCACACACACACTGCTGTAACGTACACGGTTACACACACAATGTAACACACATACTGTAACATACACAATGTAACACACACACGTAACACACACTGTAACACACACTGTTACACACACTGTTACACAAACACTGTAACACACACACTGTAACACACTGTAACACACACTGTAACACACACTGTTACACAACACATGGTAACACACACTGTAACACACATTGTAGCACACTGCAACACACACTGTTACACACACTGTTACACAAACACTGTAACACACACAAAGTAACACACACTGTTACACAAACACTGTAACACACACAAAGTAACACACACACTGTTACACACACTGTTACACAAACACTGTAACACACACACACTGTAACACACACAAAGTAACACATACACTGTAACACACACTGTTACACACACAATGTAACACACAAACTATAACACACACTGTAATACACACAATGTAAAACACACACACTGTAACACACACTGTAACACACAAACACTCTGAAAGATTATTGTTGTCTATTTTGTTGTTGTTGTAGAAGAAAAAACTACGCGTGAACCTGTGACCTCCCAGCCAGGTACCAACACAACACACAAGACACAATACACACTATATATACACACTATATGTACACACTATATACACACTATATACACAGTATATATACACACACACTATATATACACACACTAAATATACACACTATATACACACTATATATATACAGACTTTTTTGATTTGTCTCCTCAGATTCTGATGACAGCAACTCTGCTGAACACACTGAAGGTAACCTGTCTGTCTGATTACCTTTCTGTTAACCTGTCTGTCTGATTACCTTTGTGTTCACCTGTCTATCTGATTACAATTGTGTTCACATGTCTATCTGATTACAATTGTGTTCACCTGTCTGTCTGATTACCTTTGTGTTCACCTGTCTATCTGATTACAATTGTGTTCACCTGTCTGTCTGATTACCTTTCTGCTCACCTGTCTGTCTGATTACCTTTCTGTTCACCTGTCTATCTGATTACCTTTGTGTTCACCTGTCTGTCTGATTACCTTTCTGTTCACCTGTCTGTCTATTTATCTGTCTTTCTGTTTACCTGTCTGTCTGTTTCAGCTCCCTCTGAATCAGATGAAACGACTGAGTCACCAGGTCAGTTGTTCATTGGATTATGATCCAATCTCAATTCTGATTTCTGATCACATGTATTGATCTTTTCTGTCCTCATGGTGTTTCTATGTTTTCATTGTTTTTTGTGTGTCATTTGGTTCAGACAACAGTGATGGAAATGATTCAACAATAGACGAAAATGATGAAGCAGATGGTGAGAATAAAGGTTTCATATATTCAGTGTTTAATATCTTTATATAACCAGACATTGATGAATGGGCCCCAACTCTTTGGGCCCCTGGGCCCCAGTCTACAAAGCAGCTACAAAGAGAAACAAACAAAATCACAGCAGCAACAGTAGCAACACTATACTAGTAGAAATGACTGATGATGAAGATGACGATCAACAATGATTATAATCATCAGAATAATAATAATAATAATAATAATATGAGTAATATTGAGGCTCCAACAGGATCGATAAGAACCTGCGAGACGAGAAAGCACAAGAACTCCGGGGAAGAAGTGAAGTTAGTAACATGCATTAATGGGACATGAATGAGTGCAGAAAGAGAGAGAGAGGAAGAGAGGAGCTCAGTGCACCATGGGAAATCCCCCGATAGTCTAGGCCTATAGCAGCATAACTAAGGGATGGTTCAGGACTCACCTGATCCAGCCCTAACTATAAGCTTTATCAAAGAGGAATGTCTTAAGCCTACTCTTGAATGTGGTGAGGGTGTCTGCCTCCCGAACCACAACTGGAAGCTGGTTCCACAGGAGAGGAGCTTGGTAACTGAAGGCTCTGGCTCCTGTTCTACTTTTTAGAGACTATAGGAACCACAAGTAGCCCAGCATTCAGAGAACGTAGTGTTCTAGAGGGGTAATAGGGTACTATGAGCTCTTAAAGATATGAAGGGGCCTGACCATGAAGAGCTTTATAGGTGAGGAGGAGGATTTTAAATTCTATTCTACATTTTACAGGGAGCCAATGCAGAGAAGCTAGTACAGGAGAGATGTGATCTCTTTTTCTAGTTCCTGTCAGTACTCGTGCTGCAGCGTTCTGAATTAGCATCTTAATGGACTTATTGGGGCAACCTGATAATAAGAAGTTGCAGTAATCCAGCCTACAAGTAACAAAGGTTCCAGGTTGGGTGAGAGAGACTAAGAACAAGACTTTCAAACGAATTATAGTTTAGTTTAGGTTTAGGATCAATTAAAAGGCTTGAATTATATATAGCTGCTACTCCACCTCCTCGGCCAGTGCCTCGAGGAATGTGAGTATTAATATGACTGGGTGGGGTGGATTCATTTAGTATTTCATTTAACATACTCCTCATGGGACAGCCAGGTCTCAGTAAGACAAAGTAAATCAATAGAGACCTGATGTTTAACAGTCCACATTTCATTCTTTTATTTCGTGCTAATATGGAGTTTTTGTCTTTGCTAAAGTTATTATTATTTTTACCCCCTGAACATATATGAAAAGTCAATTTTATTTGCGAAAGTTGTCAGGCCTGGTGAAAAATTGGATATTCTATGCATCGCTTTCGGGTCGGCCACTAGGTGGCGCTACTATTAAGAAAAGTGCGTTTAGGCTAATAACTCCTGCACCATTTGTCGCACATTCAAAAACCTTATATCCACGCATTCAGTGAATGAAGCTGGGCCATGCCCATTTCCGCCTATAAGAAAGACCGCAAAATGTCCATAAACTACTTTTCCGTGTTCCTCCTATGCCCCTTTGTCCGATTTGCACGAAACTTTTTATGTAGCATCTGGGGACCATCCTAACAAAAGAAGTAATTTGAAGAATTTGGATATTTCAAAAAATAAGCATGTTATAAAATTAGCACTTCCTGTAGATTTTTTGTCAAAACAAGAAGTGGAGCATTTCTCCATATTGGTATGTCCAATTGACACCAACCTTGGGTCCATAGTTCCCCATGTCTTCCTTAGGCATCGTGCACAATTTCAGGCCATTGGCACAAAGTGGCGCTCTTTAAAATGAAGAAGTTTATACCTCCATATCGGCAAGTGTGATTAAAACGAAACTTAGTACGATGATTGGCCATGGCTCCCTGAGGCTCACTTAAAAAGGAGAAAAAAACACACCACTGGGTGGCGCTCTGGTGGCAAGGTAAATCACTCTGCGGAGACTGTAAAAGTTATGGATATGAAATTCACAGGACACGTGTAGACTGGTGCCTGTAGCTCACATACCAAAAATCGTGTTTGTCGTGTTTGTAGCGCCCCCTACAGTATTTCAACAAAGCAGCCCCGGCGGCACTTTTCATAGATATGTATGAAACTCTGGCAGAAGCTGCACTGGGTCGGCCCGCACCTACTACTGGGGGCTGGTTAACTATAGCAGCTACAGATTTCTCTGTGGTGTCGTGCTTCTAGTTCACTGAGCCTCGCCTCCAATGCAGTAAATAGAGTACACTTAATACAGGTACCATTATCACTAAACAAGGCAGAAAAATAACAACATCTGGCACACTAAGCAGGAAAGAGCAGCAGAGGGAGCAGCCATCACTAACTGCTAATGCTACTGTAGCTAGTGTGTGAACAACTTTGTAATTTAGCGAAAAATCGTACGTTTAAATGTTAAGCGGGTAAATGGCTGCTGTAATGAGTTAGATAGTAAGTTTATCATTAGCTGGGCAGAGCTAGAGCAGCAAACACTGAACACAGGAGCAGTCAGTCAGTACAAATGACACATTACACTTACCATACAACAAACAGATGCAAAATAACTACAAATAAAAGAAAGAACGAAGAACTGACTACAATGAGACAGAAAATGACAAGAAAGGGAAACAACTTCTACTTGCACTCATACTGCCACTGTCCTTCCGACATAATGTATGCGACATTAACCGTGTACAACATGTTGATTTGTCTCCACAGAAGATGCTGATAGTGTCGACTCAACACCTGAAGGTAATCCTCAGGTTTCCCTCTTCCTTCTTGTCTGGCGGGTCTTTAGTTTGTTTAACGGTGATGAGTTCAGGAAGTCTTTCCTCTGGAACAATCAAACTAACAGCAGAGACAGACTGAGGGGAATCAAACCTGAAACCAAACCCACACAAAGAATGAGGATGTTGAATCTCTAAAAACATACAAGGGAACATATTTTTCTGTTAATCTGTCCATTTCTGCTCCTTTAGATTCAGCTGAAACCACTGAAGCACAAGGTCAGTGTTTCTGTTTTAATTCTGGTAGTTATTTTAAAAAACCAATCTGTCTGTCTGAATTTAAATCTAATGTATCTGAAATGAAGCAAAGACATATAGCATTTTTCCATTTGACGGATCGGATTACATATTGCCATATTTTTGTAACGTTATTTCTAATTTCTATACACAAAAACCATTGTCAGATTTGCACAGAAAAAACTTATTTACACAGAAGTCAACAAGCTATTTCTTATTCCCATTAAAAATGTTTGTGAGGTTGGTCTGGGCCCACACAATGAACTGCATTCCTGTAACTCATACTGGATGAGGTACTCAATTAAGAAAGTAAAACTGAACTCTGAGCAGCTGACATGAGCACTGAGTCTTATTAAACTGACGTTCTCTCTGTAGGTGGAGACAGCAAAGATTCTACAGACGACCCTGATACTGGTAAACACATTAATAATCATCCAGAACATGTTATCAACAACAACATTAGTAGACAGTGACATCATTAAGGTCAACACAGTGACAGACTCAAAATCACAACAAACACACTCAAAACAAGTATAAAGACACACTAAATGACTACAAAGAGACAAACAATGACCACAGAGACCCAAAGAGATATCAAATAGGCAGAAAAACACAATAAAACGACTGTAAAGCGATAGATTACTTTAACAAAGAGAAACAACATAACTACAACTTCCACTACTACTTTTTGTACTCCTGTTACTGCTAATACAACAACTACTACAACTTCTACTTGCACTCATACTGCCACTGTCCTTCCGACATAATGTATGCGACATTAACCGTGTACAACATGTTGATTTGTCTCCACAGAAGATGCTGATAGTGTCGACTCAACACCTGAAGGTAATCCTCAGGTTTCCCTCTTCCTTCTTGTCTGGCGGGTCTTTAGTTTGTTTAACGGTGATGAGTTCAGGAAGTCTTTCCTCTGGAACAATCAAACTAACAGCAGAGACAGACTGAGGGGAATCAAACCTGAAACCAAACCCACACAAAGAATGAGGATGTTGAATCTCTAAAAACATACAAGGGAACATATTTTTCTGTTAATCTGTCCATTTCTGCTCCTTTAGATTCAGCTGAAACCACTGAAGCACAAGGTCAGTGTTTCTGTTTTAATTCTGGTAGTTATTTTAAAAAACCAATCTGTCTGTCTGAATTTAAATCTAATGTGTCTGAAATGAAGCAAAGACATATAGCATTTTTCCATTTGACGGATCGGATTACATATTGCCATATTTTTGTAACTTTAATTCTAATTTCTATGCACAAAAACCATTGTCAGATTTGCACAGAAAAAAAATATTTACACAGAAGTCAACAAACTATCTTTTATTCCCATTAAAAATGTTTGTGAGCTTGGTCTGGGCCCACACAATGAACTGCATTACTGTAACTCATACTGGATGAGGTACTCAATTAAGAAAGTAAAACTGAACTCTGAGCAGCTGACATGAGCACTGAGTCTTATTAAACTGACGTTCTCTCTGTAGGTGGAGACAGCAAAGATTCTACAGACGACCCTGATACTGGTAAACACATTAATAATCATCCAGAACATGTTATCAACAACAACATTAGTAGACAGTGACATCATTAAGGTCAACACAGTGACAGACTCAAAATCACAACAAACACACTCAAAACAAGTATAAAGACACACTAAATGACTACAAAGAGACAAACAATGACTACAGAGACCCAAAGAGATATCAAATAGGCAGAAAAACACAATAAAACGACTGTAAAGCGATAGATTACTTTAACAAAGAGAAACAACATAACTACAAACTTCCACTACTACTTTTTGTACTCCTGTTACTGCTAATACAACAACTACTACAACTTCTACTTGCACTCATACTGCCACTGTCCTTCCGACATAATGTATGCGACATTAACCGTGTACAACATGTTGATTTGTCTCCACAGAAGATGCTGATAGTGTCGACTCAACACCTGAAGGTAATCCTCAGGTTTCCCTCTTCCTTCTTGTCTGGCGGGTCTTTAGTTTGTTTAATGGTGATGAGTTCAGGAAGTCTTTCCTCTGGAACAATCAAACTAACAGCAGAGACAGACTGAGGGAAATCAAACCTGAAACCAAACCCACACAAAGAATGAGGATGTTGAATCTCTAAAAACATACAAGGGAACATATTTTTCTGTTAATCTGTCCATTTCTGCTCCTTTAGATGTAGTAAATACAGTAAATAAAATAAAAATAGATTGGAAAAAAAGGAAAATATATGTAATAGAAATCTAGAGTATAAAAATATATACACTATATACGATAAAGTAGCTTTTGTAGCTGCAGAAAATGGGATTGGTCAAGTTCTGTAACATGAAGGTCAATTGCCATATACTGGTCAAAGATGATACCCAGATTCTTAGCAGTGGGTTGGATATTTATGCATAATGGTCCAATAAACTGATCAACTGCAGTGAGTTTTCAGGGCCAAATGAAATGATTTCAGTTTTGTCAGGATTTAGGTGGAGAAAATTAAGAGACATCCAGTCTTTGGTGGCAGCTAATCACTCATGGAGAGAGGACAGTTGATTCAGGTTATTGGGTTCAGCAGAGAAGTAGATCTGTGTATCATCGGCATAACAGTGGTATGAGCCGCCTCTGTGAATGACCTTATTCCTGTATTCCTTGAACTTTTAATGATACACTGCAGCCTGACAGCCACAGGTGCAGCACTCTGATTGGCTTGTCTGTTTTATCAATAACATGGACATTAAACACTGACCACAGATATACCATGCTCATGTTTACATGATAACAAATAATTGATTAGTGTGCAATGTCTTTATTCTTCAGATACTGAAGACTCTGCAGCTGATGCAGAAAGTGAGGACAAAAGTGACGCCAACTCCAACAAAAGCATGAACACTGGTGCTGACTCTGAGGCTGACGCTGACAGTGACACTGACAGTGAGGCTGACTCTGAGGCTGACACTGACACTGAGGCTGACGCTGACACTGACTCTGAGGCTGATGCTGACAGTGAGGCTGACACTGACACTGATTCTGAGGCTGACTCTAAGGCAGACTCTGAGGCTGAGGCTGACTCTAAGGCAGACTCTGAGACTGAGGCTGACTCTAAGGCAGACTCTGAGGCTGAGGCTGACTCTGAGGCTGACTCTGAGGCTGACTCTGAGGCTGACTCTGAGGCTGAGGTTACCACAGCAGACGAGGATGACAGCAATGACGACAGCCTGACTCTGGATGACTTAGAGGAGGAGTTGAAGGAAGGGAGCAAAGAACCAGAGGGGGGGGAGAAAGAGGGGATCACAGACGAAGACACGTCAGAGGAGGTGGAACCAGCAGAGGGTGAGCAGGTGATCACAGACGAAGACATGTCAGAGGAGGCTGAACCAGCAGAGGGTGAGCAGGTGATCACAGATGGAGACACGTCAGAGGAGGTGGAACCAGCAGAGGGTGAGCAGGTGATCACAGATGAAGACATGTCAGAGGAGGTGGAACCAGCAGAGGGTGAGCAGGAGGTGATCACAGACGAAGACATGTCAGAGGAGGTGGAAACAGCAGAGGGTGAGCAGGAGGTAATCACAGACGAAGACATGTCAGAGGAGGTGGAACCAGCAGAGGGTGAGCAGGAAGTGATCACAGACGAAGACAACAGTGACGTGGACAATGACAGCGTGATCGAGGACACAGACATTGAAAACCTGAGCGATGGAGACAGTGAGACTGACATTGACAGTGAAACTGAGCCTGACATTCAGGACGACAGTGATATGCTGGACTCAGGGGTCACAGAGGAGGAAGAGGAGGTGAACGATGACGACTCTGCAAAGACAGATAATGAGGAGAATGAGGAGCAGAGTCTAGACAGTCTCGACTCCACTGAAGGTAAACTGACACTGATGAGTCCAAACAAATGAGGGACAGGATAGCAGCACTGTGTTCAAAACAAAGTCTTCAGAGTTCAAGTCTTTCATATTAAATATTGTAGTATTTGAATTTAAAAAAGTAGGGAACCAGAAGCTTTAGGACTTCCAATATAAGAAATCAGAGGTGAAGATGAAGAAATAAAAGTGGAGGATGTAAAATATAGAGATGAAGATGAAGGTAAATTCAGAGATCAAGATTCAAGATAAAAAAATTAAAGTAATTTAAAGTTTATTTTTGTATTTGTATTTCCTGTATTATTTGTATTGTGGGGTTTTGTCCAAGTAAAGTTTCCCACAGAGACCATAAAGTGTAAATCTATCAAAAGAATTCTGGGGACACAATGACGAACTCAAAGATCAAGCTGAAGATGTCAAAATTAAGAATTTAGATTTTTTTAAGTATTTAATCAAAGGTCAATTGGGAGCATTCAATGCATTACATTTAAACCAAACAAAAGCTGAACACACTATAAAACACTGAATGTGCCAGAATACAAATGAACAAAAGTTTGTTGGCAGTCAGAAAATGTTTCCTGAGACTTTATCTTGTTTCTTCTTACAGCAACACCCGCCGACCAACCAGACCAACCAGACCAACCAGACCAGCCTGACTCCACAGCTGCCACCACCGACAGTAAGGGTCACATCAGTGACATCACACTGCTTCACAGCCAATTACAGTTCAGACCAGTCACAGCCTTAGATCCACTTGAACCCATGTTGCAGCATGAAGAGATTATATAAAAAGAATTTACAATTTAGTCAAACTGAATCTTTTTAAATCTCTGTTTTCTTCTTTCAGCCATGATATAGACTCTTGGCCTCTGAACTGTGGAAGCTCAGCGACTCCAGGTATCCTCACACAGTCTGTCAATGGAAACTTAAGTGTCATTGATCCTGTGCTGCATTCAGGTGAAATGGCGAAGAAAGTCACTGCTGACAAGACAGAGATCTCCAACTTTTTTCATTAAAAAAAGCTGCCTTAGTCAGAGATAAAGAGGATCAGGACTGTCTTTATTAACCAGTTTTCCTCAGGCTCTGTGTGCATTTACATAAAGGTACTTTCACTGCGTGTTGCCTACTATTATAATGGAGAAGTATTAAGAATAATGTTATAAAAATGATTACAGCAACAAGAGAGGAATGCTGGTAGGAAATCATCTCAACACACACTTCTACAGCATATGTAAACACTATAAAAAGGATACATGGCTAAATCAAATTGAAATTAATAATATGGACTAAACAGACTAATACATTTCCTGGTTCTTTTTTTCTATTAGCTGCAGTTCCAGCAGCAATTCAATTCAATTCAATTCAATTCAGTTTTATTTGTATAGCGCCAATTCATAACAGAAGTTATCTCAGGACACTTTTCAAATAGAGCAGGTCTAGACCGAACTCTTCAACATTAATTACAGAGACCCAACAGTACCACCATGAGCAAGCACTTGGCGACAAGGGCAAGGAAAAACTGCCTGTTAAAAGGCAGAAACCTAGGACAGATCCTCCGGCTCTAGGTGGTTGGTCGTCTGTCTCGACCAGCAGCTGCTGTGTAACATTTAAAGCCTTCATTTTACCTGATGCAAATGTTGTCAGTACAACGTAACTAAGAAAACTATTTAGTGATGTAATTTCTAAGAGACAGGCTTGAAAAAAACCATTGTGATAAAGTATACAGTTAGGTCTGTCACATCACTAATGTTTACAGTTTTTATATGACAGTCTTTCTCAGTTGAGAATCAATATCTGTCATAAAGAATAATCCTTCCTTAGATCCGCCCCTTTCTGCTCTGTGCTCCAATTACAGTACGGTCAGAATCATCAACTTCCTCCTTTCCTGTACTTCGATATGCTATATGCTAAGCTAATCTCTATATATAGCTAACTAACTTGCTAATCCATAGACATATATACATAGTAACTGCATTGACTGCATCTTGGACCAGGACAGATTGGACTGTAAACAATACAGTAAACGGAGGAGTTTATGATACACGTGGGGAAAGTGTATGTAGGCTTTATAAACTAAATGACTGATGTGTTGGAAAATAATCCATAAAATAAACATAATATTTGTTGGTTCTCTGTCTTCTCTGTTGTTGTTAGCTAGCTAATTGGTTATAAGTGGTTAGCTGACAAGGCTTGCTCAAAGAGGGTTAGGCTTAGGAAGAGTTAAATAGTAGAAAATGTAAATCTGAACCTCCTCCAGAGAAGGTTACCATAGTGATTTAGCCTGGTTATAAGAGCCACATTGGTGACACTGAAAAGTCAACATAGCTCACTAACACTTTGATCAGGATTCCAATGGTATTGCTTATAAGCTGATTGTTTTGTGCTTTCTCTCTATCAGAGCCAACCCCACAGTGAAATACAGTTGCCATGACAACATCACCAACAACAACAACAACAACAACAACAACAGCAACAACAACAACAACAACAACAACAAGCTAAACTGCAAATAAACCTGTAGCTTCCTATTTGTTTTCACTCCTCAGCTAATTCCTGAATGGTTGTCTCCATGTTCTTCAAACTCTGGTTGCTTTACTTTTCCACCAATCAGCCGTCTGCGTGTTTAATGTGTGTCACTGTCTGCCTGTCTGTCTGCCTACCTGCAGTCTGCCTGCAGTCTGCCTGCCTGTCTATCTGCAGTCTGCCTGTCTGCTGATCTGAGATCTGCTCTGTTTACACATTGAAGTGTACATACATTAATGACTGTCCACAGAGGAACTGCTAATAAAGTTTGAACTGTCAAAACCTTCCCTCACTGAGTCTACGAGTCTGTCTGACTATTGATCATAAACTGATTATTGATCATAAAACTGATTATTGATCATAAACTGATCATTGATTTGGACCCATGAAGTTATTATTGATCCATCATTTCAAATGGAGGTTTCAGGTTAAAGTAGAGGTGAAGGTTCTTCCAGAGAACATTTGAACAGCTTCAACAGATTTCAACAAACTTCAGACTGCTGCTGCTGCAAAAAAAAAAAAATGAAATAGACGATATAAACAATTTTGTTTACAATATAACTTGTGTACAAACATGACCCATTCATAAACAGTACGTACTACACAATACACACAAACATATTGATATTCAGTACATTCTGATACATCAACAACATCAAGTTAACAGAGTAAATAGGAAGTGGTGTCATGTAGCCTACACAAAGGTCTCTTTATGAAAACACCTGTCTGTAAATGGTGGGCGGGGCTACCTGTTAACCAGTAATAATGAGTTTTGATGGAGCTGCCTCCCTTTCCTAGAAACCAGTGAGTGCTGGTCAGACCAGACTCCTGAGTGTTCCAGTCAGCTGCTGCTAGTCCACATTCTTTAACAGTTTGTTCACACCCTGCAGCACGTACACAATGCTGCCCTTTGTTTCACCTCAGTTCAGATCAGACCCAAAAGAGGAAACACAGACACAGTAAACATTATGTAAGACAACTGCAGCCACAGTATAAAGTGCTGTACAGGAAACACGTTTCAGATCAATGAAAACTGAATCTGGAAACTGTGACCTGGGGGGAGAATAGTTTGGATTACTATATGATGGGTTCAACTTTCTGTGTGATTTATCTGCTATCAGTGATTCCACAATGTTTCCCAGCTGATTTTATACATTCAGATTTGCACATCAACAAATCAGTGCGAAGGGGAGGAATGATTCTGTGAGGGATCTGTAGAAGAGCACCATTCAACATTAAAAACCAGTTACATCCGCAGAAGATACAACTTTCTCTAACCCTTCTTTAATCATCGAGGTACCTGTACCTCTCTGAAACTTCTACTTTGTCAATAGATTTTTGGTTTAAAAAACAGTCAATTCAATTCAATTTTACTTGTACAGCGCCAATTCATGACAGAAGTTATCTCAGGACACTTTCCAAATAGAGCAGGTCTAGACCGAACTCCTTATAACACTATTTACAGAGACCCAACAGTTCCCACAATGAGCAAGACTTTGGCAACGGAGAAAAGAGGCAGAAACCTAGGACAGATCCATGCCTCACACAGCCTCAGAAGTGATCATCACACCACAGGGCTGAATCAGTAAACCCGGGTCCATGATGACTCGATTCCATAAAGCGAAGTGTGTTTTACCTGTTGCTTTTCCTGTTGTTTCACCGGTGATTTTCTTGTTTTTGATGACCTGTTATTTCACTTGTTGTCTCACTTGTGATTTATCTTTATTCACCTGTTGTTCTACTAGTTGTTAAACTGGTACAGGCACAAAGCATTACATTAACCAACATTTCCACACCTGGGCTGCACCTGTTAAGGCAATTGTTGAGGCATGTGGAAGTTGACATTTTAAGCTGGCCAGGGCATATCACCTGAAGCTGATTATAGGTGTGTTGGAGGGGGAGGAGTCAGGTTACCTGGTGCCACAGGTCGCTGATGTGGAAGACTGACTCCTGAGATGGAGCAGATGAAGTTTCACTGAGACGATGAATAAAAGTGACCTGCAGGTCCTCGGAGGTTAACTGACTCACACACAGACGGTGCGGGGGAGGGGGGTTACCTCCAGCCAGATAAAGGGTGTCTGTTTCAAACAGACTCCTGTTTGGTTAATGGGGGTCGATTCTGAGGCCAACAGCAGGGGGCGAATCAGTGGTGCACATCAGTGTGTGTGTGTGTGTGTGTGTGTGTGTGTGTGTGTGTGAGAGAGAGAGAGAGAGAGAGAGAGAGATAAAACTTTGTTCAGGTGTGTTTCTCATGGAAGCAGCTGATAGGTCCATACGTCTGTGAGAAGAGAACCCTTACCTGAGCAGAGGTTGAAGAAGTGGATGTGTAACTTCCACTGAGGGCGGGGCTAGGTGACCCCTCACTTTTTGTTCAAATGATGTTCGTTTCTGTTTTATCTCAAATGTGTTGTTCTGTCCTGTTGTTACACTGAAATGAATACTTTCCTTCTAACATTGATGTATGTTCAAACTGACTATATATCTTTGTTTGAATTCTCTTGTTAGTAAAATATTTCATGATGTCTTTGGTGGTCTGCTGTGTTTCTGGAGTTTCTGGAGTCTGCCTAAGTTTGTGTTGCTCCCACAGCTCTTGGTTACAGTCAGACATCAGGATCAAAGGTCCAGGTGAGCTGCAGTCATTCAGAACAGAGCTGGACTAGACTATACCTTAAAGTGCCCTTAATTCCTCTTCTGGACCTGATCCCAGGGTCCAGATTGGCTCCAGCTCGGTTCTAGTTTCAGGACATCCTGCTGCAGATGGCTGCAGATTCATGTTCTGCCCTGATTCTCACAGACAGCAGGAAACTCATTTCAAAATAAAAGTGGCACAGGTCAGTGGGTTTTCTAACGTGTAACACTGACGGTAACAGTCTGATGTATACAGCCAAACATAAGGAGAGGAGGGGGAGAGAGGAGGGGGAGGATGAAGAGAGAAGAGGGGCAGAGAGAAAGAGGAGGATGACAAGAGAGGAGGGTGAGGAAGGGGAGAGAGAAGGAGGAGGATGAGGAGGAAGGAGGAGGAGGAGGAGGATGAGGAGAGAGGAGGAGGAGGATGAGGAGGAGCTTAGGGAAATTTTCTCTGAAGATTTGTGATAAAGATTAATTTTTGTGAGTCTGATGAGCCTGAATACACACTGTAACACACTCACTATAACACACAATGTAACACACACACTGTAACACACACTGTAACATACACACTGCGACACACTGTAACGTAAAGACAGTAACACACACTGTAACACACACACTGTAACACATAATGTAACACACACTCTAACACACATTGTAACACACACATTGTAACACACACACAGTAACACACATTGTAAAACACACTGTAACACACATTGTAACACACACACTGTAACACACATTGTAAAACAGAGTGTAACAAACACACTGTAACACACACACAGTAACACACACTGTAACATACACACTGTAACACACACTGTAACACACACTAACAGAATTAAATTCAATGAAATTCAATTGTATTTGTATAGTGCCAATTCATAACAGAAGTTATTTCAGGCCACTTTTCAAATAGAGCAGGTCTAGACCGAACTCTTTATAACATTAATTACAGAGACCCAACAGTACCACCATGAGCAAGACCTTGGAGACAAGGGCAAGGAAAAACTGCCTGTTAAAAGGCAGAAACCTCGGACAGACCCTTCAGCTCTAGGTGGGTGGTCGTCTGCCTCGACCAGTTGGGGTAAGAGAGAGAGAGAGAGAGAGAGAGAGAGAGAGAGAGAGAGAGAGACAGACAGACAGACAGACAGAGGTGCACAGCAGCAACAGTAGCAACAACTACACTAATAGTAGTTAAAAGGATGATGATGAACACGTAGATGATGGTGATGGGGACAACAACGATGGGGACACCGAGCAGCGACCACAGCAACAACAGCAACCGAGGGGTAATAGGGTACTATGAGCTCTTTAAGATATGAAGGGGCCTGACCATGAAGAGCTTTATAGGTGAGGAGGAGGTATATATGATGAAGCTTATAGTTAGGGCTGGATCAAGTGAGTCCTGAACCATCCCTTAGTTATGCTGCTATAGGCTTAGACTATCGGGGGATTTAATAATATCCAATAATACAAGTCCATTGTCAGAAGCAGTCAGAAGGTCATTATTAACTTTAACCAGAGCTGTCTCTGTGCTGTGATGAACTTTAAATCCTGACTGAAACTCCTCAAATAAACATTGTTATGTAGAAAGTCACACAACTCTTTGGCGACTACTTTCTCCAGAATCTTAGAGAGGAAGGGGAGGTTAGAAATCGGTCTATAGTTGGCTAAAACCCCTGGGTCAAGAGTGGGCTTTTTAAGAAGGGGTTTAATTACAGCTACTTTAAAGGACTGTGGTACATATCCTGATAACAAAGAAAGATTAATCATATCCACTAAAGAAGTGCCAATTAAGGGTACGACTTCTTCAAGCAGCCTAGTTGGGATCGGGTCTAATAGACAGGTTGATGGCTTCGATGTAGAAATTATTGAAATTAACTGATGAATATCGATAGCAGAAAAACAGTCTTAATATATATCTAAGTTTACATTAGTTAAAGTTCCTGAACTTGAAGAGCCACTGATAACTGTTGATGGCAGTTGGTGATTTATTTTCTCTCTAATAGTAATAATTTTATTATAAAAGAAGCTCATGAAGTCATTGCTACTTAAGTTTATGAGGATATGTGGCTCAATAGAGCTGTGACTCTCTGTCAGCCTGGCTACAGTGCTGAAGAGGAACCTAGGGTTATTCTTATTTTCTTCTATTAGTGCTGAATAATAGGCTCCTCTGGCATTACGGAGGGCCTTTCTATAAGTTTTAAGATTATCTTGCCAAATTGAGTAATATTCTGGTAATTTGGAAGAGCGCTATTTCCTTTCAGATTTCCTAACTTTTTGCTTTAATTGGCGGGTTTGGTGGTTGTACCATGGTGCTAATCTCCTGTGTTTTAAGAATTTCCTTTTTATAGGAGCGATAGAGTCTAATGTTCTTCATAGTGAGCCAGCAGCACTATCAACAAGATTATCAATTTCGCTTATAATCTAATAATAGGAATTCAAAAGTTATTAAATAATGGTCAGATAGGAAAGGATTATGTGGGAAGACTATTAAATGTTAGATATCAATGCCATATGATAGAACGAGGTCAAGAGTGTGATTAAAACAATGAGTGGGTTTATTTACACTCTGACTGAAGCCAATTTAGTCTATTTATGAGATAAATGCATTACTCAGACTGTCATTTTCAACATCCACATGAATATT